ATCCAAAGCCCGGGCCTGGACCCATACATAGGCCCGGAATGGGCCTGAATGCTAAGTGTTTGGTCCAGGCCGACAGACGGGCAGCCAGACCCATACCGGGGCCCAGGCAGACGGGCAGCCAGACCGACAGACGTGCAGACGGGCAGGCAGATAGGCAGGCAGAGAGGCAAACAGAAAGGCGTTGACCTGGCCCTGGCCCACCGACGCCCTGACAGGCAGGCATGCAGATGGTCAAGCGTCTGCTCCATGTCGACAATTATCGACGGATGTTGACCTGGCGTTGACCCACGGACGCCCCATGCAGACAGTCATCTAATTTGCAGTTGGCATATTCTTTGTTGTTCGTGATGGTCGGCGCAGATGGTCAAGCTTCCACTCAAGATAACGCCGCGGTCGAGACACATGGTCGGAGAGTGGGTGCGGGATCATCACGCTCCGATGTGCCGATGCATATCGATGAACCACATGATCTTAGATATTTCGTACGATCATTACCTCTATGATGATGATTCCAGAATGCATAAGTACGTCCAAGATTGTGAACAGTATCAGTATACCATGGCGAAGGAGATGCATGATATGGAACAACGTCGCCATCAATCGAATGTTGTGGTGCGGTATGGTGTGGTGGGTAAGGTTCCAAATGATCATGCCTTGAGGGAAGTATTTGGTAGTTTCGTTACGGACAACCAAGGACTTCGTTGGACTCAGGATGAGTTGTTGGATATGTTGAAGAAGAAGGCGGTGGAAGTGGATGCAGTTAAGAGTGCGCTGGCCAACATTGAGGTCAACGCAAAGTCATTCATCAAAAAATTCCTTCAAGGGAACGAAACGATGAGGTGAGAGATTCCTCTGTGCCCGATATTGTGCATGTCAAAGAGGAGCCAAAAGTTAACATGGACATGGAGATACGGATTCGTTCTCGGATGAGGTCGAAGATTCGAGATGATTTGATTGATGAGATTGTTAAGTATAGCACCCAAGTTCATCCCCACGTGCTAGAAGAATGTGATGGTTTGCGTCGGCGACTTGAAAAGGTGGAATGTGCAGTGAGGAGATTGTTGTCCTGTCGTGGTCTGGCGTGGGAAGATCTATCTTCTCGAAATGCAGTCTTCGATTTTCGATCAACTAAAAGTTTGGACGCTCTTCCGAAAAGCAATCTCATTGCGATGTTACATTCACTTTGAACTGTTACTTCTGAGCTGGCTCACAGAAATGCAATGCTGGAGGTGCAAAATACCACGCAGTTTCCTGTTAGCGACAACCAGATGAGGGCAACGGTGGTCAATCTTGGCCAATTGTATAAGGAGGCACGGGAAGAGTTGATGGATGCTGTGTTTGTGGACAAATTCGGTGACCGGTGGGATTACCACTCCAGGTTTTATTGGGCTCAACGTCACAATGAGCAGGTGTACCAACTTAGGGAATTGTTTGGCGACGTCGTGCTAGCTCATTCACCAAAACGATTTATGGAGGAGTTAAGCAATGTGAAGAAGGAGTTGAATGTTATTGCAAGCATGAATAAAGAACATGAAAAAAGACTCAATGAGACTGTGATTGCAATCGGTGGAATTTTTGAATCACCAATGTCCTAGATGTCAACGAACATATTGGGCACGATTGGATTTTACAAGGATAAATGAACTCTCGGTTGTTAAACTGAAATATTATGGGAACACAAACATTTGTCCCGATGAACATAGTCAGGTCAATGAGGATGATGAATTTGCGATGGAAGAAAGGAGGAAGTGGCTTCGCAAATTGGCAGAGGGAGATAAATAGGGTGGTGTTTCATGATTGTTGAATTCATCATTCAGAGAAATAAAAGTAACAAGAGTGAAAGAGGAGGGAGGAGAGAAAAAAGGCGAAGGATGTAGGGTGCAGGGATGACGATAATGGGATGGTGGGGGACAGGATGATGCAGGAGTGGGAGTGGGTAGAGTGAGACGGATAACGAGGAGGTGGAGTGGGATGGTGGGAAGAACGTGTGAATTCATATTGTTTTTATTCCATTAATGATAATGACATTAAAGGTGTTTTATGATAAAACTCTTGAATTGTGTTTTTTCTCTGTCTTATTTAAATCATGTCTCTCTCTCTCTCTCTCTCTCTCTCTCTCTCTCTCTCTCTCTCTCTCTCTCTCTCTCTCTCTCTCATCTCGTGTTCTACGTGTCCATGTTTTGCGAGATGATATTAAGTTGTCGCTCTCTCTCTCTCTCTTATTTAAGTCGTCTCTCTATCTCTTCCTCTCTTTCTCTCTTTCTCTCTCTCTCTTATTTAAGTAGTTTCTCTCTCTTTCTCTCTCTCTCTTATTTAAGTAGTTTCTCTCTCTTTCTTTTTTTTTTTTTT